GAACGGAGCTCCATATGCTCCTCCAGGATAGCTAGGCCTTTGCTGCATGTCTCAACTTCGTAACATGCATCAAGGAGGGCACCTGAACTGGACAAAGCAGCTCTGAGATGAGGACGCACCGTATGGATCGCTTGGAGGCCTGGAAAGACAAACATAGAAAATCCTCTGGGCTCTCAAAGCTTAAGAGTGGCATGTGGCAAGCAAAAAGTTGGCACAGAATGACTTGTCTTCACTCAGCAACGTTGCTACCTCAACTTCGTGACATGCATCAAGGAGGGCACCTGGATGCACCGTATGGATCGCTTGGAGGCCTGGAAGGACAAACATAGAACATCTTCTGGGCTCTCAAAGCTTAAGAGTGGCATGTGGCAAGCAAAAAGTTGGTCCAGAATGACTTGTCTTCACTCAGCAACGTTGCTACCTCAACTTCGTGACATGCATCAAGGAGGGCACCTGGATGCACCGTATGGATCGCTTGGAGGCCTGGAAGGACAAACGAAGAACATGTTCTGGGCGTGCAAAACTGCAAACATTCAAACATAGACACTTTTGCAGAACAGAAAAACATCCGAGAAATATGAGCAAACGGTGGTTCCTCTTCTGGCAAAAGATCGGCTCTTAGAGCGGAACGGTGATCTAGAGCGGAAGGGTGATCTAGAGCGAAACGGTGATCCGTATGCTCCTCCAGGATAGCTAGGCCTTTGCTGCATGTGTAAAGTCCGTAAAGAGCATGAGATGCGTAAGCTCGAAACCGCAAACTCGCAATCTGAGCAAGACACGGTGGATATCCTGGTGGTTGATAACTAGGAGGAGGATAGCCAGGGTAGCCTGCGTTGCATCAACCCCAAGAAACGACTCACGGACCATATCAGGGCTCGTTGCAGTCATTGCCTGGTGGTGGCGATCCATAGTAGCCTGGAGGAGGCCTTTGAAGCTGAAACGGCGAAACGATGCAAAACGATTCTTGAAAACGCATGCCTGAGATACTACAGGATACTGCACAAAACGTGAACTCGGCCATTGTGTCTGATGGGATCAATGGAATCCTTTTGCACTATGATGATCTACGATCACCGATGACAGGGCCCCGTATCTTTGCTGCTTGCTTGGGTCCTGGACGGATAGTAACCACCTGCAGGTGGGTAGCCTCGCATTGTGATCTGGCATTGCGATTTTGCATCTACAGGTATGAACAAGGTTTTCCAGTGTGGTCCAGCCTGGATGTGGTGGCGCAGTCTTCTTGTGGAAATGCCTTCAAAAACTTTGTCATGTGTTTCCAGGATGATTGCTACGTGTCACACTGTAGGATGCTGGCCTTTCAATAGCCCTCTTCACATAAACATGCCTCAAACGTTCAAGACGTTACGGCTCAAGCAGTTCGAGCTATACTATCTTTCGGAAATGAGAGCACTTCCGTCCTCTCATCGTCGCTCATCACCTTCTTCGACTCCGAGGCTTTCTGGCGAGACTCAAACAATTTCGAATCAACACTTAAACTTATCGTCTTATCGTATCTATTCAACATAGAGGTTTCAGTTTCTGCTCAGTAGTTACTCCTGTGGTTACTCTGGTGCCTTGATGTCAAGCTTCCTTCTGTGGAATGTAATACTGCCTGCAAAGACCACAAAGCTGACTCGCTGAGGAAATTCATTCAAACCCAGGCCCGCACTCTCTTCGAGAACGCGCATCGCACCCTCTTTGGTCGCGAAGTGCACGAACCCCCTTAGCGTGACTGTGAGGATGCTACTTGCATCATTTGGACTACGAACGTCTTCGTTTGGACTTTTTGAGGTGAGTTCCAGGAGGCTTTGTCCCTGTAGATCAGCGTGACGAGACCCCATTGGGAGAAGAAGTCACCAACCTGCATTTGTGTATCCAAAGACATGGTTGTAGTCATTACTTTAATGTTTGAAAAGCTCTAAATAATCATCAACAACGCCTGGATATGCTACAGTGCTGCAGAACCAACGACGAAGAACAAATATATCCAAAATTTAAGATATATATCCTATATAAAACCCTACAAGGACACTCTGCAAATGGATGCTCTTGGCCTCCTCTTCGCCGTCTCGATCACTGATGCCACCCACAAAGACCTTGACCCGAGTGTCAAACCAGCACAAAATTGCAGATATTGGAACCTCCCATGCGTCCCGGTAGGCCTTGCAGGGATCAGAATCGCTGAGCATAGAATCCTGCTTCTCCTTCAACTCTTCATCCTTGACAACTGCCCGAATGCTGATTTGGATGACGTTCAAAGCTCAAAAATTGCATGGCTCTTGCCACAGAAAGTACACCCTATTCAAAGCTGAAAGCACTCACTGGTCTTGCCTTTTTTCTTGGTGTTGCAAACCCCATGGCAAGTTGCCTCTGCACCCCTGCAATCACAGTATTTGGAAGTATGACTCGACTGCAAATCATACAGAAGAGCCCACAAAGGTTGCGAACTGCAAAAAAGTTGCACAAACTGGCCACTACAAAAGCTCTGCAATTCAGCAATCATGCGACTTGTCTTGGGTAAGTAAGCCATTACCTCCACAACATTGGCAGCCAAGGCAAGCCACACCCGGATGCCGGAATACAAAACTAGGCCTAGGCTTTATGGAATTTGTCACTTGTGCACCAAGACTTGGAAACAGGAAACATCAGGACACTAGTTACTAGTTTGAGTTCTTGCGCTTAACACTATCTGCTGTTGGAAGAATCAACAGGTTCATGCCTGGGAAGTTTTGGGTGTCAACTACTGCACAGTCGGCATCAGCTGCAAATCTGAAGCTCACGAAGGCATACCTCGAGCACCAAACTGAAGTGAAATGTCAGGATCCTGACCAAAAGACTCGTCACCTCGTACTAACAGCACACATTGTCACATCGCACATATTTGTTGACCTCGAGCATCCCCTTCTGAGGTTTTCACGGTGCCTTGTTCTTCTCACCTTCCTGCGAAACACTCTGCCAAATATGTTCCGTGCACAGTGTTTCCTCTCACGAAACAAGGGCGGCATTTAGGCACGTTCAGTCTGTCTGCACCTTGGGAGGGCAAACATTGCAATGGACAATGTGCCCGTACCTGAGTGACATATTTTTTCATTTGAACTCTGGCCACGTGAGGGAAAATCCCTAACAATGCCTTGTGAATTCAGGGCATCACGTCAACTTGGGCTGAGTTCCTAGCTTCCCAAAATGTCTCTCAACCTCAGCAAAAAACGATCCATCTCACATCGTTCAAAGTCAATCGTGCAGTGCGGTGTTCACGCCTCTCTTTCATCCGCCGAGTCTGGCAAACCTCCAACAAAGACCTGCACTCTACGATTCCACCCACGATCTCCCCAACTCAACTGGCACAAGGCAACTTGACCGCTGGGCCATCTGTGGCATTCAGTTTCTTTCAGTTCCCTGCCTTTAAATGTTTTCGTACTGAGAGGTCATCCTCCTTGAACCTCCAAAATGATCTCTCTGTTGGAACCTCTTGCCTGTGTTTTTGTCAGTTTCATTTTACATTTTTCTATTGCAAACAGCCGGTTCAAGCAACCTCATAGAGCGTGGCCCACAGCCCGTGCTCTCAGCTAAAAAGTTGACCCAATATTCTGCAGAAATGCACGACAGGACATGACAACATGTGAAGGTCTGAAGCTCTACGAGTCTGTGTCATGATTGTTGTAGCCAATGATGCCCTCTGTTGTGATCTTTTCGTTTGCCTGCAAACAAATAGCCTCAGGTCGGTGTCGCAGTTTTCATTGGCCAGTGTTGTCTTCTATATTGTATACAGGTAATCTTGGCAAGTCGAGGGTGAATGTTCCAAGTTACAATCAAAACTGTATATAGAGAATGTCATTCGTCGCTTTGAACCAAGAACGTTCTTTAGCTGGTGCTTCTGACCTCTGCAACGATTGCATGTGCGGTCAACAAGGACACTCCCTGCGCACAAAAGATTAGATCACCAACTGTCTCTTTCAACCAGTTCCGGGATGCACGCAAGCAACAGGGCCACGCGCAGATATTGATCTTGCATGTTTTCTCAAAGTGTTCCAATCGAACAGGATGTTGCAGTACCATCAGAATCAAAAAGAATCTCACACGTTTGCAACTCGTCCATGTGCAGCTTCTGCACCCGCCCAAATGATGCATCTTCGGGTCAAAGAAAGCCAGATGCAAAAGGAAGATGTACTTTTCCGCGCTGCAAAGGCCACAGTGATGGCTCGGATCCTTCCTTCTATTTCGCTTGGACCAGCAATGTTCTCACATATCCAACGACATGTTTTCTTCGAAGCTTCCAAGCTGTCATCCGGCAGACATTGCGCCTCAAAACTCATGTCAAGTTCTATGACATAGGCAACAGGGCCACGCGTGGTTGCACGAAGAGATACACAAAGAACGGTGCATGTAGTGGGTCAAACAGTTTACTGGCCGCGTTTGATCATTCGGAGCCACAACCATAGGCTTACATTCAACTGTCCCCATTCACCTTGGTTTTGGAAGACAGTTGCACACTTTGGCAACTTCCACCTTGACTTTCGACGACAGTTAGACACTGTAGCAACTTCCATTGTGCAACAAAGAGCCAGATTGCCACGCAGCACGCGCCGGAACCGCGGAACCACGCTGGAACCGCCGCAGGGAGCGTCTCAAACAGCTAGCTTTCACAGCCGTTGGCGCACACATTCTCTCAAGAAAACGCATGGATTCGCACAGCGCCTTACATGAAAAACCGTCCACATTGCCCCATGGCCACTGAAAGTGCATGTGTAGACTTAGCTAGCACTTCACTTGGCTACTGTCTACGCTAACGGCTAACTCTTAAACTTAGCTATTTGTCTACACCAAGCTATTTGTCCGCACTGCGTATTACCTGCACTAACTATTGCCTGCGCTATTTACAGTAACTGCTCGTAACTAAGGAAGTCTCTTAACTAAACTTCCTTTGATTAGGCTGGTGTATTGGTTGCAGAAGCACACGGCTCAAGTGTCGGAAACTGAAGAAATTGGCACCACTTAAGGTCCTTGATACATGAGCAGATTTGCAAATGCCATTCGAAAAGCATACTGCTCTCAAATCCGAACTGCCATAGGAAGCTATTTCGCCAGCATAGCAGCTTAGCTCTGAGTCCTTTAGTCGACAGCTTCAAAGGTGGTCCCTGCTGGAAGCTCTGCAGAGATTTCTGCGAGGAAATCCATGGCTTCTAACCCCACCGATTCCACAGGTTCAACTGGCTCTGCCATGAACGGTGCTGCTTCCAGCTCAGTCTGTTCAACAGGCTCCGGCTGCTCCAGCTCTTGTGTTTGCTCTGCCTGTGCCTCAGCCATTGCCGGCTCTGGCTCTGGCGGTGGAGGCACAGGCAGTCCAGCCCTGCAAGGCTCATGTATATACACAATTGCACTGAAAAGTTATCAAGTCTCTTCACGCAAAAAATAGATATTAATAAAACTCTTGCACACCAGCTCCATGATTTGCCTTTGCCACGGTGGAATCGGCTTCGGGGCAACTTTCGCTGTAGCACCTCACTGAAACGACCATGGAAGCATCTCTTCACACAAGTTGATCCAGTTGATCTTTAGTTGCTCAAGCACAATTAGCTTGAACTGTTCTCCAATGTGTTCCACCAAATTGGCAAGTGGCCGATAATCTTCGCCGTTGGCGGCCTGACCAAGCACTCTTTGCGTCTTAGCCGTGATTCGGTGCTTCGATCTGTGCTGAGGTGGCAACAGCTTGGGAATGATCGGCGCTGGAGGTGGGGCCTGAAGGAAGTGAGCCCAGCAAGACCTTTTTGGAGAAGCTCAAAAACAGGAAGGAACTGAAGAATAGACGAAAAATGGAGGTGAATGGAGGCTGTGCCAAGCCTCCACCTCCCAAAAGCCTCGCTTTCTGGAGTTTTGCCTCACTCCAAAGAGAGCTCAATAACGTGCTGTTGGACCGCAGTTCATAGATTCTTTGATCCAAGACTCTCCATGTCTGGGAGGTCTCCGCGTCTGGGAAGGAGGAACGTGGTGGAGGCGCCAACCTTTGAACACTCAGTGTTTTCAAGTCAACACTATCTTAAGCTTGAAGCTCTTCAAGTCAACACTATCTTATCTTAAGCTCGGAGCTTGCAAAAAAGGAAGTGGATACAATTATATGATAAGCTTGTTTACCTTGTTCAATGGTCTCAGGTCAGCACTGCATGTCGCCATGCCGTTGCTTTTGGCTTCCAGCCCTTTTTCAGTAGCTCCTAGCAATGCGCCAACGATCCAGAAATGCCAAGTTTCTGCCAGCTGCACAGTGAACGAACTCAGTTCAAGTTCAGTGTGATCAACTCAACAGTCAGAAAGTCTCCAGGACAACTCGCACCACCGACACATTCTCGTCCAAGCAAAAGGTGCGTCTGGTCTGCGGGATTTGCCGATTGTAACTCAAGGAACGAGCTTGAGTAAATCACACCCCGTCACCTTGTCACTCGGAGGAAGCCCCAGATACCGAGCCATGGCATTCAAGCCATTCGGAGCTGCCTGTTGCCACTTAGAAGTTTAGGGTCCATGGAAACTTTTTAACCTCTCATCTGATAATGCGCAATGAATGAATGTGTTTCTTTCAAAACAACTGAACCACAGATCCTGAAGTCTAACAGTGGTCTTAGGGTGTCCTAGGCCCTTTGAGGTTTGAACTACGGAAGTACCCGGCCTCATTCGGCAATGCAAAATGTTCTCGGAAAACATCCTGGGAACACTCTTGGCCAGTTATGATCCATGTGACCTAGGACGGAAAAGTAGTCCTTCAAGCAGCACCAGCGTCGAAAGAAGAAATCCTCACAGGATCTACAGGTTCGTCACATGTGTGATCTCACGTATACGTTCGGTGTGTCACATGATACGTCACGTCGGTTCAATATCCGCGCCTGTAAACCGTAATCCACAGCTCCATTTAAGGAACAGCGCCTGGCAAGACTTCAGCAGGCCTTCTACTTTCCAAAGATTTCCGAGTGCTACGATGTGTTACGTGTTGTGCCCTTTGAGATACTCTCTCAACTCTGGCTAATGGCCTCGGCAGCAGCGACTGGACTTCGAAGTCCCTGCATTGTCAGCATGAAACAAGAGAACAGCGGGAAAAGCAACCCCCAAAATGGACAATGAACATGAAAATACCAAGCAAAAACACAGAATCCTTTGAAGAAAGCAGAAATGAACGGGACAATCATTGCTTGAACGGATTTGCTGGGCTCAGCGGCCTTGGGCTTACGAAGAGAATGTCTTCCGTGCGCATCTCGTCCATCGAAACCTTGGGGCAGATGCTTCAAACTTTTTTTCAAAAAGGATATTACATCTCTGTTTGTTTGAAGAGTTTGAGTTCGGTTGTATAATATTTCATGGTATTCTATAAGTTGAACGGTAAGCGGCAAACGTTTGGGATAGTGACGTGAACACGCAAGGTTTTTCTGTAGCATTCTTGTTCAGGCTCCGTGCTCCCAGCAGTCTGGGCCTCTCAAGCTGACTGCTGGAACATGCTATGCGGTTTTCGGCTTTTCGGCTTTCGTCCATTGGGAAACCCGAGTGGTGCAAACTGCAAGCAAACGTAAAATGGTTCGATTACTTAAGAGCTGGCTAAGCAAAGGGCAGCCAATCAAGTAGATCTGCTAATGCATCGGTAAAATGGACTGCCTGAGAAAAACACAGTCAGAGCTACAAAAATAGGGTGGTTGCAACTGGAAAACTCATTTGTCACTTACAATAATTTAGCAATATGTGTCTGCAGCTGTTGCTTGAGAGTTGTCCTTTTTCTGCAGGAATCCGTCGAGTCTCGGAAGTGCATGGTGCACGAGCGGACGAAGGAACAACGACTTCGAGGCAGCCGGAACTATCGAAGCCACGCCCCAGCTGTGGCACTCGAGACATTGCGACATCTTCCTTCTTCATCCCCTTGCGTACAAACTTCTGATAGCTCTTGTTGGCTTCCGCAGTGTGAAACCGCCTTTCATCTAAAAGCAGGGCCAACTCCAGCCTCTTCTGCTGCTCCTCCTTCGCGCGTCCCAGCTGCTCCTTTGCCATCTTTGCCTTTGTCTCTGCAGCTGCATCCACTGAATCCACTTCTTTACCGGCGGATCGCGCATCCTCCGTTTTAGCAACTTTGGCTTCAGCCAACGACTCAGACGCATGGCGCTTCAGGCCAAGCAGCTGTGTCTCGTCTTCCCGACCAGCTGTGGCTTCGCACTTGGATTTGTTGGCAAGGTCCAAGTGCTGGCGGCAGTAGGTCTCGTTAAGTGAGCTATTGCATGGAAGATTACAGCCCTTCTTTTTGCAGGAGCCCAGAATAGGACATACACCCAATTTTTCGATTTGTTTGGGATTCTCCACCAGCAACCGGGCCTCACTGGTGCCAATCTTGTTTGCTGCCTCAATGAGTTGTGGGTTCAGGATCGCCATCATGGATCCACGGCTTGCCTCAGCCACATGCTCGCGCTTGCGCCAGTGCAAGCATGCTTGCCATCTCAAATGCACAGTGATGTTGCGCGGCTCTGGTTGCGCGAGATCTGTCAAACGCCATTTCACAAACTCTTCGCGATTCTGCGATTTCTGCGACTTCTCACTGCAAGAGTTGTAGAAAAGGACTCCGATGATGATGTTGTCTTTTGTTTGTCGTGAGCAGTGCAAGGGAATGTAGGAAAATGTGACGAAGCGGCGATGTGGCTTCAAGACTTCCTTCTCCCACTGCTCAGCAGGGACCGTCCTTTTGCGAATGGGCAGTTGGCTGAAGTGCTCCAACTCTGTCTTTCCGGGCCCCACGGACTCAGGTTCCCGGTGTTGGGGCGTGGGTGCCTCTAGTGCCTCCGGTGCCTTCGCTTGCGACTCGGATCCATCTGGTGCAGAACTGGCCATTGCCCAACCCCTTCAATGGCTGACGCACCGGCTTGAGCTTCGACGTGAAAAAATACTGATACTGAATTGCACTGTTTACGACAACTCCGAAGCTGAGAATTGCGCTGCTGGCTTGTCAGAGAAGCAAGCAGCTGGGTTAGCCTCTACCACAACAGCATCGAAGTTGTTTCAGTGCTGGACCTACCCAAATTGAAAATGGTCTCTGCCTCCCGCATGTGTGCATCTTGTTGATCCCACATTGTTGGCCTTCATTCAAGGCACAAAATGAAGAGACAACAAAGTGAACAGGCCGCGTCACAGGTGCCTTATGAAACGATGGAAGCGGCTCACCTAGGACCAAGGCTGGACTTTGAGTGACTTGGTTTTGGATTACCAGTTGTCAACACGCCAAGTCCCGCTGCCCAGCCCTGAAAGGCCTCACCACCAGCTTCCCAATCGACGGCAACCATGCACAACCTAAAACCCAAAAGCAACAGATGTAACTTCTCTGTGGCGCTCTTGGCGTGTTGGACAATTAAGAAGCCAGCTCGAGAAGATCCTCCTCTGGACAGCCTACAATTAAAACGTGCTCCCAGCATGCAACGATATACTACAAGTACTGTATATATATAATATACCATCTTCTCCACAAGTCATCACTGCAAAGCCCTGCTGGTCCTGCCTATTCCCCCACCAGCTTGTGGACGGGGTCCCACCAGCCCTGGAGCCCCTGCGAAAGAAAACCAATACCAACAAGCACGAGTCAAAAAAGGAAAGCAATGCCCTTGTGTCCGCTAATCGCAGTTTCAGGTTCCAAGCTTTTGCCTCCCAACCCTCTCCTGGAGTTGACGGAAGGACTGGAGGCCCAGCACCGCCGCAAGACACAACGAGGAGCAAGGGCCGCGCGTTCACCTGCTACGTTCTCTCAAACGCAGTTTCGTGTGTGTAGAAGGACCCTCGGGTCCTGGGCCTACCAAGAGTAGAGTCAACCACATCGCGGCAATATTCCTTTTTTGCATCGCACAAGCCGAAGAATAAAGTTGAAACGTACAAGCCTTGCAGCACCTTCTTTTCCATCTGAATCATTGGAAAGGAGGACAATCAAAATAACGAGAATGAGGGGAGGAAGAGAAGCACAAAAGGAGCTACAGGGTGAAGAAATCTTCCAACCACTTGTGCAGCTACTCCGGGGTACCACAAATGCTTGCACCTTGCTTTCTTCTGGCTTTGAGGGGAAATCACTCTGCTCATCACTGACACCATGATCTTGATTCCGCTACAATATCCACGTATCCGCCGGTGCCGATTTCTGGAACATGGCTAGTCTGATTCTTTGACTTCAATTATCGAAATGATGCAGGTCATGTTCAAATTGATTGTAAAAGAGCTGACTTCCTCCCACCAAACCAAGCCTTTGAGATGGCCTCGTTCTTTGGAGCTTTGGCAAGCCAGGCAGCCTAGCAGGCAAAGAGAGAAGTATGAACTCAGCAGAACTTCCACCTACTGCTGCATGATCCATCTTCAATGCAGGGAGAGGTTTGAGGGTAAACGGCCTGAGTTTCAGCAATAATCTTCGAGGAGTGCAAACCAGCCTTGAAAGCCACAAAATGCTGTAAATCTCTCAGCACAAAAAGCAGAACAAAACACCAAACTCAGTTTTTGTTTCACCTCACAGCCATCTTCATCATCTCTGCCGTCTCGGCAAAAGCCACAGGCAAACCAATGACAAAGCCCACGCTCCTGGGAACTGAGCAAATTGTAGGCACCGCAACACCTATTTCACTATTGAAACTTGAACCTGTTGCTGATAGACTCGGGGTTGCTTGTTCTCACCTTGGGTACTGGTGTATGCCTGTGTGGTCGAGATGAGTGGGGGATTGCATGACAAATAGACTTGGTGAATTCATAAGAAAATGCTATGATAAAGTTGAAACTGCATCAAACAAAAGTTCTTTCTACCCCATAAGTCGCGAGTGAAAGCCTCCATTCCAAAGAGAGAAAGTCTCCACTCAGTGTCTCTCCGCTACAGTTGACATCAGCTACACCCCAAGGCTCGGCAACTGCCACCCGCTTGCTGCTAGTTTTTCATGTTAAAAGCACAGGAGCAGCGTGAAAGTCATGAGAAGCAAATGCACTTGCAAAAGGAGCAATGTCAATATGAGACCGGGATGCCCTAAGGAGCTTGATGTTGAATTTTGCCTCCCCTGGACTCCGAATCTCACATTCAGCTACTTTCTGGCAAGCACTGTCCTCTCTTGTGAGACCTTTTGTATGCACCACTTCACTGCAAGTCGAGAGCAGGAACTTGTGAGCGCAGGAATCCGCTTCAATGCGAAAGTATCGTCCCTTCAGGGAGCGCAGGCCTGCGACCTGTGGCTTTGCCCTCTTTTTTTGGTAGCGACGGGGTGATGAGGCCAGGGCCTAAGCTGAGGGCGCTTCTGGAGCAGCATCGCGCTGCCGTGGCTCACAAAGTCTGCTGCCACAACACCGCAAGAGGATACGCAATAGAGCCCAAAGACGTCGCTTGCAGCAGTACAACAACAGCACAACACAAACAGGGACAACAATCTCAGGCCTTTCACGAATTTCATCCACCGACAAGAAGAACGCCAAGACAACTGTCACGACAGAAGTCAAAATACCCAAGAACCACATCAAAATAAGACCGTAGAAAAATCCTATATTCCCGCCACCAATGCATCTACCAAAGACACCACAGTGATGATCAAAGTGTGCGACACATCTCTGACAAATGCTGCAGTGATGCGGCTTTCTGTGCAAACCAGACAATTTGTAGAGAAGCGGATTGAGAAAGCCTGCAGTTGGCATTTCTGGATATCGCCAAACAAAACAGCGCACACAAAAGGTCCGTTGCTCATCCACCACGTTTGCTTGCACTTGCTCTCCCTGGAGCAACGCCTCTTGAACTTCTGGTGGAATTGGGCAACAGGTTTGTGGTGTCCGAAGAACAATTCCTGGATCTGCCAGCAAAAGGCATATCAACAAAGAGATCGCCAGGAATGCTTCAGTGTAAATACACCCACGACACGTCCAAACAAAGGCTTGTGACAGGTCACTAATGCTCGAAGCCAAGTGGGTGACCGCAACCAAACAGGTTGCTCCACCCAGAACGGTTGCACAGCCGAGAGCCTCCTGTCGCCTTTGAATTGCCCTGTTTGGAGAAGGTAAAGGAGGAAGTTCAACTTTCACTTCGAGAGTTGAGTCCATCAGTGGATGCCATTACAAGGAGTCGATGACTCCAAAAGCTGTATACATACGAAGTTACTGTGTTGTTTGAGGTTGAAATGTGTTGCTGCGTTTTCGTATGATTTGGATGCAAAGTTTCAGCTGTTCACCTGTTCAGCGGGCTTTGGTTGAGCTCTTTCATCTGAACGCAGGAAAATGCTGCAGAAAGCTAGAGCCCGACTGCAATCCAGCAAGGCAAGCACTTCTAGATACAACTGCTTCACCCACACAGGAACAACAAAAGATCTCAAAAACAAAGACATCAAAAGCCCGCATCTTGAGGGCTTAATTGTGTGGATCTATGTAATTTTACTTGTACCAAAGTGACTCAGTTGTAGGAGCTAGTTAGGTACTACGGACTACGATTCTGGCCTATCCCAGAATCCGGGCTGCCGGCCTCTGGGGAGGCCGCTTCTTTAAAAGCAACCAACACTTTGAGCATGGTCATTGCCTGCCAATGGAATCATATTGAAACACCAAGTGAATGCAAGGGAAGTGTTGCAGTAAAGTATATAAGAGTTGCCACGCTCTGAAAGCAAACACAAAAGGGTTCCAACCTTGGCAACTTTGGCCTTTGGGCCTTTCACTGTCACCTCAGCACCTGAGCCAGACACAGTGCAGCAAGCTAAATAGTCCAATAACTTTCAAACACAGAAGGCCTTTGGCATTGTGCTCAACCAAGACTTGAGTCGATGTCCTTCAGGTGTGGTTACTCCGGTGCATCAGGTTCAAGTCGTGATCAGCCAAGGTCTTCGATTAAAGAGCTCGCAGCATCTCGAGCAAGGCTTTTGGCATCGCGGCGTCGCAGGATCACACTTTCTGAACCTCCAAGCTGCCGGAAATGGTGGGCAGCCCTGTCAGATGCCTCATTGTGATCTGTACTTGACGGCCCGTACCAACGAAGGTTCACCATCATCCAGCAGACATTGAAAACATACCATTTCAAATCATTAGTTATGTCATCAGAAAGGCCTGCACGCTGAGCTAGTTGTTGCATGTGTCTTGCAAATCGGTCCCATGCTTGTTGGGCATCAAGGTTCCCAGCACCGAACTTTCTCTCATTTGCTGCTCCCCAAGCAGCAGCGCAAACAGCTTCCATCAAGTCATTGAAGCCCGATTCGTTTTGTGGCATGGCTGGTGGAATTGCATCCAAAGCTGTAGCGGCACAGCCACACTCGTGTTCCCAGCGGGACCAGCACCGCATCGTTTGCAAATCTGCTTGCCCCAGCCAACGTTCCAATGCAGCACCTTCAGCAGCTGCACGGGCCATTGAAGAGATCATTTGGACGGTCACACCGATGTCAGCATCATGGCTATGCTTTCGTAGCTTGCCAGCTTGAGCAGGACTATCCACACCCATGGTGCTTTCTTGGACTGAAGACTTGCCTGCAATCAGTGAGACATTTGGCAACAAGACTGAGCAAATAGCTCTAGGAGGAACCTCTACAAGCAGTTCCAAGCAACCAGCAGCTTCTTGGACCTCTACTTCACATGGTACAAAGAGTCGTCGACGTTGTGGTTCAGTGAGAACAGCCTGAACTCGCCGTCGCTCACTCCCTCGGCCTTTAGGCACAAACGCAGGCAATCGAAGGCGCTGCCGGCTCAACACCGAACTTGGATTTGAAATCACGGCAGCCAAAGAGTTCTCTTCAGGAGCAAAAGAGGCTGCTGCCCATGGTTCCGAACAATGCAGCATAATCATTCCACGTCTGATGAAGCGAGTAAAGTGAGCAAAAATGAAGTATTTGGGGTGGGGCAAGTCTGCAGCTCGGGGTTCCTGAGAGGGTGTGTCACCAAAGTCAGCCTCAACAAGTCCCCAGCTTGAATGATGTTCTACTGGTTGCCAATAGCACCACGAAGCTGGTTGTAGGTAGTGGAAGTCCTCCAAAATCACTTGGGCCAAGGTGACACCATTGCTATCTCCATTGCCATGCTCCGAAACGCACAAGGGAACCCTGGCTAGGGTAGCAAGCCTTCGTAAGGCTGAACGATAACCACGGTGGCGTGACTCCAACCAAGGTTCCAAGCCGTCGTAGGCGTGCACATTCAAACAGCCGACATAGCTTCCTGATGGCCCGCCAGCGACATCTGCTCTACCAAGCTCTTGCCAGGTTCGAATCGCTTGATCGGGGCGATTCTCATCACTGGCTGCAATAACCACATCACTAAGCCCCCTTTGGTCCAACTCATCTCGAAGTCTAGCTATAACCCTGGCCTGTTGTGCAGCACTGACCTTACATCCTTCTTGATCATGGGGAAACATCCACCAATCAGCTGATGGTTCATTGAAAGGAGCCACAGATCGGACGGGCACCCCCCAGCCACTGCATGCCTGTGATGCAACCTCGCCCAAGTAGCTCGCAAACTCATCGGGCTGGGCCAGGGAACCACCGAACGAGGAACCACTGTTGCTCATCCACCACATTGGTGCATTTGCGAACAGCTCAACCTGATCCACTCCTCGTTCAACAGCCAAGTGCAAAAAGTTTCTTTGTCCTTCATCTCTGCTCCAGTCAAATTCACCACCTGCCATAGGTTGGAAGCCTTCTATCAAGGCAAACCACCCTCTAACCTTGCTTCCACCATATGGATGACCGGTTTGTTCCTCAGGTCGTCCACACCCTCCAACGTTGTAGCGGGCAATGCTCAATCCAAGGCCAGGGACAGCTGGAGGCATATATGCTCCAGCCCAGTTGGGCCATAGGCTTTGCACTGGGACGTCTCGAGTGGAGAAAAGCAGATCAGCCCAGCTTTCAGCCTCTCTGCAACAGCCCAGGGCCTTGCCAAGCCATGACAGGGAGCATCCCCAGCCAGACCATTTGGCTGGTGGATATCGAAGGAGTGCTTCAGCCTCCAGGCCGGAAGCTCCTACACTTCCACCTTGTGGGTAACCTTGACAGCTTGGACCCACTCCCATCTCGGTCGCAAACAGCGACCAATTAGACTGCCAGTATTCAACAGTACTGCAATTGTAGCTTTCAATAGTTCAGGCTGTCAGACTTTGTCTTGGCTTTGGTAGTAATCTGTTTCAAGGTCTTGTTCGGCATATAATATTGGCAAGGAGCTTTCATCATGTTCCGAGATGAATCCCTCGGCAAAAGAAATCAAGTGTAGCAGGGTGATCATGTTGCCTAAGTCCTACTTGCAAACGAAATTGCTTGACCGTGATTATTACAAATGGCAGGCGGAGCAAGCCAGTGGAAATAAAGCGTCCCAAGTCTGTCCCCACTGATGGACCAAAAGTTCCAAAACCTGAAAGAAAGGACTCAAGCCCTGGCCAGCCCTGGCCTTTGCTCTATCTTGGAGGCAGGGCCAGCCTTGGCTGAGGGAAAGTCGTGCATTCACTCATTTGAGTCTGACCATGCAGCCGCTAGGTGGCGTCCAGAACTCCGGGTGGTCGGTCTGACGAGTTCTAGACGACTTCTAAGTGTCCAACACCTCCTGGGCCAGCAAGTTGCACGGCTTGCTTCTTGGAGACCTGAAAGCTGTAGCTTGGAGGCTAAAAGCTACTCTTTCGAAAGGCTCTCTAGCAAATCGATGTGAAAACAGAAAAGGCCGCTCCACCTGCAATTTTTCTTGCACTTCCTCTTCTTCCGCCATCGCCACCTCTCACAAAGATTCACAAATATAGAGTCGCCTAGAAATTACTCTAGTAACAAGGACGCTATTAGGGGCTCCTGGCATCGATACTAGGAGCAAGGACGCTACTAGGGGCTCCTGGCCTTACTACTAGGAGCAAGAGGACGCTATTAGTAGGAACAAGGACGCTATGTCGACCAACATCGGCTCATAGCCCTCGAATTCATATAATCAAGAGTGCATTCCCTGCCTTGTCAGCTTTTGCAAGCAAGGCATGCCATCAAGGTAGCAGGAAATAACACGTGTTATAGTAACGGTTAAGCACTTGGGAATCTACCCTTACCCTTTGGTAATTGTTTGATGAGGCAAAAAGCTGCGAGTGTTGTTGGCAAGCAACAGGCGACAAATCTCAAATTGTCGGGTTGCTTGCCTCACGAATCATGGTCACTGGCTCTGTTTCAGATATGTTGTGTGGGAACGTCCAGCACAGCAAGCGGCTGCGATGCAGGCGAATCAGAAACAAGCCTCACAAATTCATTTGATCTATTAAATGTTAGTGACAGTGCTCGACACATGGCTATTTTGAGACCTCAGGACGCTTCAGCACTCCTTTGGGAGTGGGAAAGAACAAACTTCTAAGCTCTACTCAGCCTGATCCTAGCCGTCGACCCTGACCTGCCATGTTTGAAAGTCTACCAGTGCTGCCCAACTCAAAGCACAGGATGTTCCGATTCCCATGCCCACAAAGCTTGCCACAGGCACCTTCAAAAGCTGTGAATTGTGCAGGGCCTCTGCAGCTATGCATCGATGAAGAGTGTGGGTTGTGTATGCTGCATCCTAGTGATGTGCTTCTCTGCTGCTCCTCCCTTTCTCTGCTTACATGCTTAATGAGTTGACACCTCAACATGATGTTTACAAGGCCAACTTTTCTCAATGGAACTCGTGGATGGTGAGTGTCCAGTCCTGCTTGGGGAGCTCCTAAGAGGCTCGAACGCTCCGTAGGTCCCTCACCTTGGCCTTCAGACGCAAAATCACAAGTCCATGTGGTTCACAGATGCCTTGCTCAATTTGATGCCACAGGAGTGTGGCGTTGAAAAGGTCTTCTGTAGATGCATGTGAAGAAATAATTTCATATCTTCTTCCGCACCTTGATAGCGGCCACCTGCAGGACCAGGCAAATCAGCGTCTCCACCTAATCACACTCAACCAGGTGGTCATCACAATGTCGTTCATATATTTCGGAAATGAGAGACAGGGTATTCTACGTTCGTTTGAGGTCAGGACCATTAGACCAGTCTCGGTAGATCCACCTAGGATCCAAGTGATGCAGATCGTTGGACAAGTCTCTTCGTGGCAACAGGCGTTTCTGAGCGTGCCACCATGCCAGCGGAACTCCGAGCAATGTTGTTACAGGAATAGACAAGGCGATGCCATTGTATATGTTATACCTAGCACTTTGGCAAAGCAATTTTCTTCTCAAATCCCGGCACTTTGTATAAGACTTCACGAAGTCAATGGTCGCACTCTTGCGGCATTTTTGTGGAGAAAAGCGGCAGGTGTGACTTTACCTGCAGGTACTACAAAAGCCTTTGAAGTTTGGTGATTTGGTGATTCAATTTGAGTCAATCTGATTCAATTGAATCATAGTCAGTGAGAAGCTGCAGCAAGCACACATCTGAGATTCGATGCTAGTACATCAATCAGCTTCACGAGGTCAAACGAACCTGAGTCTCGCGGAGTTTCGGACCAAGTTTTGCACGCGTCGAGCAAAACAGTACAAAGGCAGAAAATGTCTGTGATGCAACTTCATATTCTACAAAGTCTGTGCATCCAGAAACCACGGGCGACCAGGAGAATCAACACAGTGACCATTTCTGCAAAGTCGCCATTGATCAAGCACATGAAGCCCCAATAGCAAAGAAGCTGGACATTGAAGTCCTGCAAGGCGGTGAGGCGACATCGCTACTAGTAGCTTCTTGTTACTAGTAGCGATGGCCTCCTAGCGATGGCCTTCACCCTAGTAGCTTCTTGTTCCTAGTAGTAAGGCCAGGAGCCCCTAGTAGCGTATTAGCGTCCTTGCTCCTAGTAGCGATGCCCTTTGTTCCTAGTAGCGTCTTGTTTACATGGGTCATGGAGTCATCGGACACTGGTCCTCACGTATTGCACATATGCCCACGGCTATCATGATGGCCTCAGGTGACAAATCGCTCCTGAATAGAAAGGATCGGCTCTTACGGTCTTTGCCGCATTGTGAAAAGCCTAAGCCCAACGCCATGAGGAATCCACCCATGATGTCTAGGAAAACCACCTCGACTCTATGCGAATGTGCAAGAAAAGGCGAGGAATGCATGCGCACCGTGTGAATCCCTCTTTAAAAAAGGATCACCATCAACGATGCTCCAAAACTTAGTGCGCTGGCCATTCGAGCTAAGCAGCAAAGGCCTGAGCGGCTTGCTCCCAAAAGACAGCTCACAGAATTGGAGAACAGGCTGCCTTTCATTAGCTGAGAAAGGTGCTCTGCAAGATCAGCACGCATTGCACCCATGGCCGCCTTCAAGTTTAGCAGAAGGCAAATTAACCTCAAAGCTGGCCTCCCACCTTGCCAATGCATACGGCGTTGGTGGCCCACCCCTGAGCTCTTCGAGATTCAATTAGACTTTTCATGAGAAACCAAAACAACAATTCTTTCGCCCCATCTTCATCCAAGCCACATTACCCCCATGGCTGGTATTGGTATGACCATAGCGAAACGTATGAAGCACACAGAACAGCCACACGGGGTTGTAGTCGGACCAATGCGCTGCTAAAGTCTCCAATTTAACAGCTTAACGGCTCAACTGACAAACCCCGTGCAGCAGAAAGGCCTTGAACCAGAACTGCCATCAAGAAAGGTCTAAATTGATGCTGACGCAGTTTTGAAAACAAAATCACCAAACAAGCAATTGAGCAACTGCAGCGGCCAAGCGAGATGTCTTTTTGCAAATCGATGGCCTTGCTCAGCTTTTACGGCCTTGCTCAATGTCACCTGCCGAAGTTCTTCAGATGACAAAGGCTGTTGCGTCACTCGCGTCACTCCCGATTCAAAGCAGGAGTTCCATTGTCGTCCTTGCGCAATCGGCAGAAAGTGGCTCTTGCGTGTATGGATGTGTCTGGTCCTGAAGGCTCAAAACTCTCACCCTCAGATTGTCAAAGTCCACCGAAGCCCACAGACAGTCTTCCTTGGCATGATGCCAAGAGCTCGTCTTGGCAAAATTTGAACAAAGTACAGTACAAAATCATCGAGAACTCCAAATATCTTTCAAGGATCGGTTCTGCCCAGGGGAAAAGGCTGCCCATCTCACCCAAGCTTTGTGTCCATCCAGTGTTCGGATGCCTAAAGTTGCGAATGAGATGCAAGTTTCCTGAGAGTGCTGAGACACTGGACGCAATCCCAGGCACACTCGCCATTATCAGCCCTCCATACCTCAAGGCCACTGCAGATTCAGCATCCAGTCAGTGCTTGATGTGCTGAGAAGCTGGCTTTGGCAGTACCATCTTTGGATGCTGTAACAATCTTGGTCAGTGAGGTGATGTCCATACTGCATGTCCTAAACCTGTCTCCATCAAATGTCTCAGAACCGGGTGCACGGCCAAGCCACCATCGACCGAGAACGCCGCCATTCGAAGCCTCGGAAAAGAACACCAAGCTGTTTTGTGATGTATATATTGGAATTATCTCTATCTTGGTCTTCGTGCAACATACCTTTCAGGTAATGTCAGTGATGCAAGACTACAGTAAGCATCATTTGCATCATGTGACTGGCATACAGCCAAAGGTTGAAATTGACAACGTTCACCTAAGAATCCTGCCAGTCCGCATGACCAGCCAAATCCAACAAAGGCTTCCCTGTCACTGCGCTCCAAGTCTTTGCCTGGTGCGCACCAGCTGTGGCTTTGGCAAGTTGTCCACCTCTTTTCGAAGCGAAAATTCGAAGTTTGTACCTTCCCATCGCCCGAAGCAGTCACTACCTCAACGCCGAAATTGCTGCAAAAGAGCCACGCAAGGCATGTAACAGTGGTGCAAACAACATCCGTTAAGCTTGCAGCTTTGAGGCTATCAGGCGAGAAAGCAGCACATCGCAACCAATCATTGTGACCTATAAACCATCTACAGGCAACACTTCTTTGCACAACGGTTGTTGGCCTGTGATCACAATCTTGTCACTTCCAGTCTCAATTTCAGCAATCCTTAGACAAACTCAAATCAAACTGATTCCAGGAACCATGGCGTGTCACCGCAGCCATTGCAATCACAGTATGGCGTGTCCTTGCAGATCCGTCCATGGAAGCCGTGAGTAGAAGTGCGTTGTCATGCGAGAACTGCACGCTGAAAACCTTCGCACTCTGACTTGCATTTTTTTACATTGGTCGCTTTGAATGTGTGATTGCGAGGTGACTTGGTAAGTTGTGTACCTTCTGCGAATGGTTTGATATTTTCTGCACCTGGAGCATGCGATCAGGAACACATCGAAACAATTCAAAACAACGATTGGAGAATTCCACCTGCTGAAGCTTTGCAGCATTCCAAATGATCACCTCCAAGACTCCAAGAACATGAAGTGAGACTTGATCGAGCTCACGCTCTTGCAGCTCTTCACAAAACAATACACAAACAATGAAAGGTGAAAAGTCATGGCAGCAGCAGCTCAGCCTCATGATCATCTGTAGCGGTTGCTATCATCTTGCCGTCTGGGGAGTAGACAGCACTATGGATTGTGCGATCAAACCTTGGCCCCGACGGCCAGCAAACAAAAAAGGTATCCACGTTCCTTTTGTTTTGCCTGCTTTTGCTCAATTAAGTAGGCGCCTGCTTAATTAAAAGCTAAACAAACAACCCGATCACCTGCTACTAGGGAACGGACGCAGGATAGTTCACTCTCGCACTATTCATTTGGTTCCGAGATTCATTTTGTTCTAGGCCCTCTGGGACTTTCTAGGCTTAGCTGAGGCAAAGTCCTGGCAATCGTCCTTTCACACTCACCAGTCCTGAGAACAGCAACACTTGTCAGTTCGAATCAGAGCGCAAAGGTCGAGTCGAGTCAAGCGTCGTTGTATCCCAGATCTTGACGGTCCGGTCATGCGAAGCAGTTAGCAAGTTGCAGCCTCAGGGGTCAAAGTGCTTCAAGTCACTGCAAAAAGCACAGTCCTGCTTGAAGCTGCTTGGGATAGAGCCATCTGGCGAAAAAAAGGCCGTGTATACAGGGCCTGAATGGCCAACCTGAGAAAAAGCGATAAGATAGTTGAGACACAGCAAGATGGTCTGCCCGAGCCATTGGCACAAGTCACGGCACACTGTCCACTGTCGCAGAGCCACAATTTTGCTGTCTTGTCCTGGATGAGAAGAATGAATCTGCTACAAAGAGCACTACACGCAAGAAAGCCCAAAGGTTTGCCAATAAGGTTTGACTAAAGCAAAGCACTTTTGTTGTGCTGCACAGACGAGGGGCAGTGGAGGCTGTTGCCAGGAGTTCACCGTCAGGGGAAAAAGCAACGCTCATCACCTGCAGCGACTCCAACTCTGATTCTTACATGGACAAACTTAAAACTGCCTAATAAACCGCAATGTCTTATTATATAGGAAGTTGAACCGTAGATATCTGTGCTGTTGAACTGTTGGGTGCCTGGTCCTCATGTCCCAGGAAGGACATGAGACACTCTCCAGTTTCAATGCTCCAAAGTCGAGCTGTGTGGTCGATGGATGCAGTTGCAACCTTGGCAGCATGGAAAGAAACCGCAATCTCGTGAAAAATTGCGGAAAGACATTGATGCACAGCAAATTACACAAAAACGAAAAGAAAGGGCAGAAAGGACAGCTGATTAGCAAGTGCGCAACTTTTCCACTTGTTGCCAGCCCCACGTTACCCCGCACGACCTGGTCAAAATTGAGCTCAAGTAGGACAATCTGGGGCAATTTTTCAAGAAGAGTTTTAGAGTAATTCCGGTCTATGTGACTCCGACGTTTCCAATTTCCACCTGGAGGGTACTGTGTGCGAGTGTACTCAAAAGCTCAAAGTTCTCCGATGCGATCAAATCCTAAGTGCTTCGACCCAGAAAAGGACATGACACACACATTCAGATTCACATTTTTGCAGTACATGTAAAGAAGCTGCTTTGAGTTCAGAAAAGGAAGACCAATTCAAAGCTTCAAAGCATCCAGCCTGAGGAGCTATCCACGTTCCACCAACGGCAACAACCTGGCCATGATTTGTGACGCTGCTCAAATGCCTTTGATGTAGAGGGCCACCTGCCTGGCTCAAGGAAAGGTAGTCCTTGTACATTCCCGCAAAGACTTTTGGCAAACTGAACTCTGAGAACAGCGGCACTACAAGAAGGTCAACGTGCGCAACGCTATGAAGTCCACTTGAAGTCAAGCTAATGAAGAAAAGAGTAAAGTATTAGGTTGAAGGCCGATGGCCATTATGTTGGAGGCCATCACCATTAGGTTCGAGGCCATGGAGGCCATAGCTATTAGTGTCTACTTCCCTACTCTTTAGCTCAAGTCATGCCCTTACCGCTCTTAGCGAAGCTCTTTTGAGCGAAGCTCAGCCCAGCTCCTGGAGGTTCTTTTCGGAGACTCCACCCGTTGGATAAAAGGTCAGGTGTGGATATGGTGTAGCGACTGCCTGGCAGATTGGCCATGTTCAATCATGCGCTGATTGGTTCACAAAAATAGCAGCGGAATCTCATCAACAAGTCTACCTGAGTCTACTAGAGTCTAAAGTGTATTATGAGTTTTTCCTCTTCTGAAGAAATGGCTGCTCGATGGCTTGCATTCAACAAGGGAAAAGGTTTGATTGAGTTCGGCGGCAGCTTCCTTCGCAGAGATCTTCAGCTATATGGCTATATGTTTTACTATCAATATGAGGACAATGTGGATGAAGCTTCCAGCCCTGGTTGTGCATCGCTTGTCAGGCTGATATTGGTTCTAGTCCCTGATCACAAAGGATGCATGAAGATAGATCTTGTCCTCCGTTTGTACAATGTGCTGAGTGATGTGTCTTTCTGTGCTCAGCTAAAACCTTATATGTAGGCTAATGGGGAATCCAGCTATAAACAGCACCGTCCGCCTTTAGACCTGCCGGACCACCGTTTGCCTCGCAAATGCCGTCTCAAGAACGCAGAAACCAAACGCAAAACTCGCAAAGGCTAAGGCTGCTAAGGAATAGTTTAAAAGAAAGTCCCCAAAAGCCTCTGCAGGGAAGAATTTCAACATGGTGAAACCATTCCTGGAGAGAACAATCGAGCACCCACTCATGCGACAAGCCGACAGACCAACAAGCACAGTTCAGCATTCTTTCGGACGATGTGCCTACTTGCTTGCTCAACTTCAGAAGGTGAAGCAACCCCAGGTATGACCTCATATATAAAGCTAGTGGTATATGACCTTAGAAAGTCTAAAAAGTCTGGGATTCTCGCAGGGATGGCATGATCCAGGCACCAGTCCGCCACCTTCCGCTCTTTTGCAGAAAAAGCAGGATTGCGGGGGGCAACAAGAAAAGCTTGAAAAAGATAGCTTTCCGTGGGAATGCACTGAAAACGATTCAAATCCACTTGAACGCAGCAAGCCTCTTTGTTCAGGCCTAGAGTAGTGATGAACTTTGCCCCGGCTTTGACGGCCTTGAGTCGGTGTCTTGCAAAGTTGTTGCATATTGGTTCAAGCTGTGCTTAGTGCACAAATGCAAATCGGAGCATGTTTCTGTCGCAATCCATGGTCTCTGCGCACAAAAGTTCAAAAGATATGAGTCTGCTTTCTGTGCCGATGTTCTGGCATCAATGAAACAATAGTGCAGAGTCTGCAACTCTTTGTTGCATTCTCCGATCTGCATTAAAAAGCCGAATTGGCTCATGAAGTTGGAATGATCTTCTGAGAAATGCAGGCAACCGCACCAGCAGGCAATTCCTGAGTCAGCTCGGTCTGTGGAGGCATTCCAGTATTTTTTCACCTTGAGAGTTGAGTGCCCTGAGAATCCTGCATGCATTTCGACAAAGTCGTCTTTCATCTGCCCAATGAGACCAGGTTCCACACAAACAAATTCCTGCCAGACCATGGGGACACAAAAAGGCACAGCAACGCTGGCTGTGTGGAAGAGAAAAGGAACCTATATAATAGCGATTGCCTCCAACCTACTACTGAGTCAAAGCCACACTCCTTAAATGCTGGTGGTGGCAAATCACCTGGCGACTTCTCCTCGTAAGGATTCCACCTGGCTGACGTAAGATGAGTTGGCAGGAAAGCCTCTAGCTGCTAGCTGAGTTGCTTCAAAAACTAAACTTGTTTCCAGGTGGCTCACACATTAGGGCAAGTTGCAAATACTACCAACAGCACTCTGAAGACTAAGGACACAGCATAACAGCATAACACAGCATAACAGCAGTCAGGCAGACACCACGATTTCTATGGGCTTTGGAACGCCCGCGATGGAGCCCTCGTTGCAAATTGCACAGGACACCTCAGCTTAAGACCGACGTCAAAGACCAGGTCCCCAATTTCCGTCAAACTAAACACAATCAGAACCCTTCATCAAGCTCCGAACGTAGCTTCTTGTTACTAGTAAGAATGCTCCTAGTAGCGATGCCAGGAGCCCCGTTCGTAGCTTCTTGAAAGCGTCATTTCTCTCTGTTCCTTGGGAAGCGAACTCCACCCTTCTGGATGATGAGGACATCCTGGAAGCAAGAGGAATCTCAAGTAAGCGTCTTCCAATCCACTAAAAACAAGAATGCTCTTTAAAGGCCTAGAAGCCTGCAAACAAGAACGCTTTCTTGCTGAAATACGTCATGTCCTTGGCTGCATTGCCGCTAGCCAAATCCTGCCGAGAATAGTCATCCAAGCAACCACAATGTTACTTCTCATCCCTGCACAATGACATGCTTCATTTTGCATTTTCATTTCGAAGCGCTGTACAATTGCTCCTTGCCCCCAACATAGACCCTATCAGTGAAGGATGGAAGTGCCACGTCGGAGACTTGGAGCTCCTTCCCTCCATTCGCCTGGGACACCAAAAGTCGAGACCAAGCAAACTGCGCAACCTATGTAAGCCAAGCGGCCTTGTCCAAATATGTGCGGCCTCCAAGGCCACGTACACCAACCTGTGCGAATCGAGAACAAGCTAGCTCCGCGAGCCAGGCGACTGTATTCTGTCAAAAGCGTCCGTCCAACTCTGCCAGAAGCTTTTTCTCATCTTCGCACTTGGTAATCTTTCTCCAGACTCAAACACTTCACTCGTGGTCATGCCTCACCAATGTCAGAGACTCGAAAGTACGTGTGGAGCAGCGTCTGGAAGCTAAAGGGGGCCTCGTTCCAGCAAGTCGATGGATTTTGAGTTGAAAGGAATTCTCCTGCAACTGCTGTTCGATTTTAATCCGTGCATAAAAGAACAAGTGTAACTGTAGGCAAGCTGAATCCATGCTTGTCTACAAACCAGCACAGCGAAGCTCTTGAGGCTCTTGCTTCACTGGTATTTGTCACCTTCAAGGTCATTGGCTCAGAGAGCTTTGATTATTTAGGTTCCGTTTGACCAATCGGCAAAAGCTTGGAAGATCCAAGGATCAAAAGCAAAAGTATACATGGATACATCTATATATATATATACATATGTACATATGTACTGTGGTTAAATGGTTTCCATGCAAAAGTAGCACCTTCAGGGTCATTTTCAAGGAGGCCTCAGGAAGAAATATTGTATGTGAGCTGCCAAAATGCTGCTCAGGACACGTGGGAAAACTCATCCAGCTGGGCGGGCCGTTTTCTGTGCTCAGTGGTTGGCGGCAGTAAGAGAGACGACGAACTCCAGCGCAAAGCTATGATTCCAAAGCGCACGAGTTGCCTCTCGATTTGACATAAGATAGCAAAAGTGGTTGACGTGCACAGTCACCCACATCACAACTTGGCCTCACTATCTACGAGGGTCAAAGTTGCAGTGGACTAAGTGGAAAGTGCAGCAACCGCAAAGCTTCCAACATGCATGAGTCAATGCATGACAAGTCTGTGCTCAGGACCAGGCACCCTCAATATTGTCCTGCAATGGGAGCACCACAACCCTTTCTTGCATTTAGAATAATCTTTGCTAGAGCCAGGAACTGAAACTGCACTCTTTGGCCGAAAATAAAGGAGCCAAGTTCGCAGATCAACAAAGAATCTAGCCATTGGTCCTCAACAGATGCTAGCGTCCAATGACTGCTGCGCGCAAATCCATGCTGTGCCATTGCCTCCGACAGCACTGGAACAGAATTTGGACAAGTTTCCAAAGAGAAAACTGCCCCGCCCCAGCCTTGTCAGGCTGGCCAAACTGTGGGAATACGAGCGGCACACCGCCTCGAATGGCCTCTTGTTACCAGAGGCAACAGCAAATCTCTTAGGAGGCTCAAACATTGACTTCCGGGGCCTTCTTCCCGTCAAAGATTGCTCCAGGTGACACAAATATTCCTCAGCATCTTCTGAGCATTCTCTCTGACCCAACTCGAGGCAAATTCAGGCATGCTTCGCTCGACGCCATCTGGA